CAGCTGGAGAGAGCAAAAGTGGGAGGAAGTGGGATTGGGATACAACACGGATTCCAACTCATCCAAGTTAAACTGTTGCATGTGCATTAACCTCAGATGTAGCTTCAAAATGTTAACATAACTGCATTATTTAACATCCTTACAAAATAGCTATATTTAATTTAAAAACATTTGTAATATATCATTTACCATTCTGAAATAAATATTTACAGGTATATCACAAATGTTGAGTGAAATAAAAAAAAACGGGAAAATTAATAAATAATTAAAAATAAAAATATTTATAAATATTTGTAAATAAAAATTGCTAGTTTTTCTTCCCATTTAAAAAAAATTAAAAGAAGGTCACATTCAGACAATACATTAAATCTATAAGCTGACTGACATGCCACATTTTTTTCTACTTCCAGTGGAGTGGGGCAAAATGTTTACAGACATGTGAAGATGTGAATCTAAAACGGACCATTCCTGCTTTGCGCTTTAATGTTACAGCGGGCCAGATGTTGTACAGATGTGATTTTTCATATCAAAAAACAGCCCATTACCAACGCAAAATGGGGAATATTTTCTGAGCAATGATGGTAAAATCTGCAAACCCCAGAAGAAAGCAAGACGTTGTTGTGACCTTTTGTGAGCTCAGCGATTGCTAAGCAGAGGAAATATGAAGCATCTTCCAATAAAACCTCCCCCACCTCTTTTATGACCTATTCACTACATTTCTGTTGAAAACATTCACTCGTACAAACTCATCTTTACAAGTGTTTTGTAACACAGAGACGGCAATGACAGAGCCAAAATGACTGGAGTGAGTCAGTCTGAACAAAGAGTAAAAGACAAAGACATTTTAGACAGCTCAAAAATGAAAAACAAAGAGAGAAATGGAAAGACTGCTGTAAAATTCCCACTGCAGACTGGAGAAGATGGAGCAGAAAAGTAAACAGAGAGAAAAAGGCAGGAAATAAATATAGTTCTCAGGCAACATTCCTCCCCCAAACCCAAATATACATGTAAAGGGAGGAGCAAAGGAGCTGATTCGGAAAACACAGAAATACATGTTTAAAACAAGCTAGGAAAAAGAAAAGGTCACTGTTTCGAATTAAAAAAAAAAAAAAAAAAAGGGAAAAGATGCAGAATTTTTTGAAGAATCGTTTGACAGATCTTGCCATACAACTTCTGGTCATAATGACCAAAAAGAAAACAAAAGGCACCATAAAAGTGATCCATACAACTTGTGCACTATATTCCAAGTCTTCCAAAGCCATATAATAGCTTTGTATTAGAAACAACCCAAAATGTAAGTCTTTATTCACTGATAATCACCTCAAAAGTCAAAAATGGCACATCAACATCACAAACACCAAACGGCATTGGTTCAAAGCTATTGTGTGACTTCAGAAAACTTGGAATATAGTACATGAGTTGTACGCACCATTTTTATGGTGATTTTATTGGATCTTGACATTCCTTTGTCACTTTAATAGCTGTCAATAGCTGCATTACAGTTATTCAAAAACTAATAAATTCAAATAAATTACGCCATACAGGACTAGAACAAAATTAGAGTAAATAATGACAGAATTTAGCAATTTTCTTCTAAAAAAAATCAAAGGTGCAACAAATAAATCACATTTTAAAAAATTATCTTACTTGGGTCATCAGCAGGTGGGACGGAATAAGAAGAATTAGTTTTTGGTGCATCAGTAGAGGAGCGCGCTGGAGGCGAAGGCTGGACAGAAGGGCCGACGATCACCCTGAAGATTCGTCTTTCATGTAAGCCACAGTAGTGATGGTGAAGGTGGCAGGAATACAAGCCTTTATCAGAGGGCTGAATGTTGTGGACACTCAGGGAGAAATCCCCCATGTAGAAGGCATCAGTTGAGATGTTCATCTTATTCCGGAGGAAGAGCGGCCCGTACTGCCGGTTCTCTCCAGAGGCATACATATCGATGAGGCGGTCTGCTCGGTCACGGGTGACCCCAGGTGCCTGCCAGTCCCAGTGGACCACCTGCTGCTGGCCCTCGTCCCTCTGACTGTCCGTCCACAATTGTCTGCGGTTCACACAGGGAAGCACCACACTCTTCCCCACCAGAACCACAAGCACAGATTTATCGCCATCCCAGACACGCTTTTCCTTTCGAGCTGCAGATATTGACATTTTTATAAAGAAGTTTAACTATATAAATAATAATGTTTAATTTATATACTGTTTTTTCAAAGCATAAGATTGGATAGCAATAATTAAAAACTATACTGTGTAATTTTTCAGTGTTAAAATATCTATTCCAGTTCATGCATGGACAGCTACAACAAAAACATTATCAGATTAACTTCCCCTGAAATCATAAACACTGTGGCTCTGTTGTGTTTATATGCTCCACTTTGTGGGGCTAGTAGAGCAGTATGACACACTTTACACAGCTTTACGTAAACATGCCTGAAACTATGGAAGCCTGGAAGTATGGAAGCTCATTGTCACCTCAAAATAAAAAATGAAAAAGGTGAAATAAAGCCAAATTGTGAGATAAAAAGTCACAATTGTGAGATGAAAAAAAAATCACACCGTGAAATATACATTGTTACATTGTGAGATAAAAAAATTGCTCAGATTAAAAGTCAAAATTATATATAATAGTCATAATTGTGAGTCATTTTGTGAAATATAAAGACACATTCCGAGATTTAGTCACAGTTTTGAGATCTGTAAAAAGTCGCAATCACTTTTTTATTTCTTAATTTTTTACTCTGAGGTGGAAAAAGGCTAGATAAACTATAGATGTCAGGCTTCTTCTCTTACGTGATTTAGTGACGTTGAGCTGGATTCGAATGGACTGGTGGACCTTGCAATAGTGGTGATGTAGGTTGCAGGTATAGATACCTTTATCATTCACGTCCACATCTGCGCAAACAAAACAGCAACACCAGAATGGAAGGTATTTAATATCACAAACAAAATAATCAAAAGAGTGACATGGACATGGTCTAAAAGGATGAACTTACTATTAATAACTAGTGAGAAATTTCCATCGCTGAAGGCGTCTTTTGAAATAGTAATTCGGCCCCTGTTGTAGTCGTTGTACAAGCGCTCTGTTCCCCCTGAGAACATATCTAAAATGCGCTCCACAGTGTAATCGGGTTGGTTCCGGATCAGGTCCCAGTGCACGACACGCTGACGGTCCCGCAGGCGATCCTGCCTCCAAACCATCCGCTGATTATTACACGGCAGAAGAACATCTGACCCGGCTGGAACTGTAATGTTCTTCGCCTCCACAACCACACTAGGCATGTTGTTTTGTGCCCAGGCTAAAAGACATACACATACATTACATTACATATTCATTTTGGTTTATACAGTATGAAAAATATTGGGAAACTGCTACAAAATAACTATTTTGTTACTCACTCACCACATGGTAAGATCAAGGCAGACCAGACTGAAATGAGAACAAGAACACACGCATTAGAAATACTGAAGGTGTAAGTCATATTTAATTATATGAATACGGAAATTCGGCATCTGTCCTGTAGATATTTCAAACACCGAACTCTGCCCCAAATCACTGTTTGCATCAGTCAGTGTTCATATTGTTAATGCAGACACAATAAAACTTAGTTCAGATCTGCAGAAGACTAATATTTGCTGCTATGCCAACACAAAGAAATTTGCAGCACAGAGGATCCATTCATTTCCTCTCAGCAGTCAGACCTGTAATCCAGATGATAAATACTGACAGAAAGTCAGGCCTCTCCACATCCATCACTAAAAGTACAGAAAAAGTTATCGAAGATGAGAAAAATTGATCTATTTATGGTCAAGAAATAGAAAAGGTCAAGGACAGTCAGCTACCACAATCGAACACCAGATGTGTGATCATGTGAGGAATCCAAGGGGTGAATTTGTGAATTGCTAGTTCTTTTCTTGTCTAAACAAGATTCAAGTAGCATTAAACATTGACATGTCATGCCACATTAAACTAAATCTGTAACATAACATATTTTTGTACTAATGAATGTGTGTAATATATATGTATATATATATACATATGAAGAATAGAATGCAAGACCAGCAAAAATGACTGCGTTTCCCATCTGTAATTCAATTAAATATTGAGGTCAAGAAACATAGAAGGTAAAATATGGCCACAAAGAAGAAAAATTCAAAACCCTGTAATTGTCTTTACACCGCATGATAGTGTCTTAACAAGAAGACTACTGACGTGTCTTTCCACACAAAAGACTACAATTAACTCAGAAAAAAAGTTCAGAAAAAACTAAAGAAAGAGAAAAACAAAGCAGCAGAAAAGACGTTTAATCTAATTTAAAATATATAAGTAAATAAATAAAAACACTTGGAAGGAGGCCAGCACGAGACTTACTGCAAGATCAAAGTTAATGCACAATTCCACATTCACTGTGAAGGATGCAACACAGAAGACAATATTCAGAGTGTTGTGTAGGTGAAAATGTCAAAGCAGTTCAAATAAGTTAAAGATATATGAGAATTCGTTAAAAAAACGATTTGGCTACTTACTGTATGGCACGAGAAACATGTCCGAAAAGTGGTGAAGATATTTGTTAATTCAGGTGACCGATTAAACGGTTTTTTCAAAGGACTGCTCCCTCACCTCAAACGTTTCGTCGACCAGCGACAGAAAACAAAATCTTTGCCGTCTGCTGGTCTGGACTGGACCACTGACATGCCCCTCCTCCAGAATATTAAACATCATGAAATACTAAACTCTCTCACATTAACTGCAAATATTTCTTAAATTACACCAGGTTAATGTGAAGGCAGCACCATCTCTACATAATAAAAATGTATACGGGTATTTATCCAAAATAATAAACTAAATACATTATATATATATACACATTATATACACTACACATACAGTATAATATATATATACATATATATATAAAATGGAGATGGGTTTTGTTAGTGTCATTCACTTAAGGTGATATAAGCTCTTAAAACAATGCACATCACAAAGAGGTGGGAGATGAGGTCTTTTTATTGCAGTAATAAGCACATATGCAGTACATTTCATATCACTGTTTTGCTCCAGATGCAGTAACAGTAGAGTGAATGGTATTATGAAAAACACAAAAATATTTAAATAACACAGATGTTAAAGGATTAATTCACTCCCAGAAAATTCTGTCAACATTCACCCACCCTCCACTTGTTCCAAACCTGTATGAGCTTCTTTCTTCTGTTGAACACAAAAGAAGATATTTTGGAAAATGTTGGTATCCGAACAGTTGGGTGAGTAAATGATGACAGAATTTTCATTCTAGAAGTGAACTAATCCTTTAATTAATTTATTTTATTCTGACTCATTCTGACATAGACTTGGGGTGCTGTCCATCCATCTGGGGCTCTCTTCAGTCCAGCTCTCCTAACGATTCGGGTAAGATCTCTCTCAAACTGAGCCTGAAAACGTAAGAAATAAATTGAATGGAACACAATACATCAGTATGGTCTCTAAATGTAAATCACTTGTGTTAGCAATGCTTCGGAGTTTGAAAATACAACTTGCATCAGATCTCCATTACTTTGCAAAAAAACAAAAATCAAAAAAAAAAAAAAAAAAAAAAAAAAAACATAACATAACACAGCTAATGACATGAATACATCTGCTCCCAACCACTAGAATAAATAAATAACTTTTACCGTACCTTCTGATCACACTGCAAAAAAGTGATGTTCTTACTCAGCATTTCTGTCTTATTTTTTAGTGCAAATGTCTGAAGAATCTTAAATCAAGATACATTCACTTCAGAAGCAAAATGACATAAAATAAGAAGTCTTGTTTTTTGAGAAATTGAGTTTATGATTAAAAAGTGAGAAAGTGAGGTAATGATTAAAACAAGAACAAATATCTGCCAATGGGTTCAGAAAATCATAATTCAAAAGGAAAACAAGTTTTCACTCCTCAATGACAGATATTTGTTCTTGTTTTAAGCATAAGATTTCTCAGAAAACACACCTTCTTATGTTAAATTTTCATATCAGATAAATGTATCTTGATTTAAGTATTTAAGATATTTGTAATGGAAGGCAAAACAAAAATACAGAGGAAGACATTCATTTTATGCAGTGTATGCAACATTTAATGCCATGACTTTATGGATTTAAGACCTTCTGCTCTGATTTATGACCTTTTTAAGTTTTATTTGAAATCACATAACAAAAAAATACATTATTTACTCTTGTTGTCTAGATGACTAACATAAGTGACCTGCTTTTTCTTCCGCCTGACATCTTTCACTCTCCTCCTCTGGAACTTGGTCCGTTTTAGCAGTTTCTTGTATTTGTGCCTGTTCATCTTCCTTCGTCGGATCTGCAGCACATTCTTGCAGTTCAGTGGTGTTGAGCTTTCCCCATCCTCCAGTAATGGCAGCGCAAATGGAGGCAGCACCATGGATTTTCCCAGAGGAGGAGAAGCCTCCAGCAATGGGGGTAGAGAGTAGCGCAGAGAAAGCCAGCTTTCCAAAGGTGAAACTGATAGCTTACGGGGCACAAGAACCTCCTCTAACTCTGGCTCAAAAGGTGTCCATAATTTGGGTGGAAGTTTGTTGTCAGCAGCTGAAGTGAAGCATCTGTTTTCAAACATTATTCATTATTCATTATTCAGTATTCATACTGAAGAGCTCTGAAATGGGTAGAATGACAGTGTTGCACAGCACTGCATAATGCCTGGCTCTGGTTCTGCAATGAACCTAGAAAAGAAAAGAAAAACGTATGGGACATTGTACAATGATTATTTTTTTTAAATGAAATGCGTTACTAGCACAAAACTGAATAAGCTTACCAGACACTTTGGAAAGCAGGTTCAGTTCTCAAAAATCTTTAAAAATACAAAAATAGAATTGTTTTATAAAACAATCTTGGTTCTTATACAATCTAACATATTTAAAACAGAACGAGTGTCTTTCTCACGTCTTGCTATGTCACCTCTTTCTCCTAAAGATGGCGCAGTTTTCCAACCCTCTGAAATCGTACCACTGATCACAATTTTTTATATGAGCCTACTATTTTTCTTCTGAAAAAGTCACATTCATTAATTTGAATGAAATAAAACTGATAATATATTTGGGACTAGGTTGCAATTCAGTTTAACACTTAGAAATTGTGACATCTCATACCAAAATAAATATCTGTTGTGCATTCAAAAAATAAATGCACAACAGACTCTCTTTCACAGTTATTATGAAAAGAACATATGTAATCTATATTCAAATGAAAACGCTCTAATGTGTTTTTCACAGGATATATTCTGTGAGAAATTTTAAATGATACTTTATTTGTTATACAATAATTACTAAGAACTTTCCAAAAATGATTACAATTTACTGTGCAGGTTTTTTCTTTCTTTCTTTAGTCCTTTTGTTATTTTGTTCCGTTATTATGTTGCGTATGTCAATGATGCTTTGTATTTGTATTTATTGCTATTATCTGTATTAACTACTTTTGTACTGATACAGTAAATAGCCTATGTCATCCTTTTGTTTCTGAAAAGAAAATTTGGTTAAATGAAAATATCAAGTCTTGTCTCATTATAAATGGACAAATGGGGAGAAATATATTTATTTACACAATATTGCAATATATTTAAAATGACATATACAATATTTATTAAAATATTTTCAAGAACATATCAATCAACATTCAACTTATTTAATTACATGTGTCTGGAATAAATATTGCCACTTGTGTCATGTAACCATGAAACTCACATCCTGTGTTGTTTTAGCTGGTAGCACCATTGCACATCCCCTGCTTATGCAATAAAAGTGGCCTGTTGCCTGTTGTGTACCTTTGGTTGATCCAAAAGGCAAAACTCTGACCATGAAGGTCATGAAGTGTCTGAACTCACTCCCAAATCTGCAGGAAACTGGAACAGAATCAAAGACCAGGACATCTCAGTCATTTTATATTTGATATTCCCTGGAGAGATAAGCTGCTAAGATTAAAATATAGCTAATATTAGACCCATGCTTCCTATATGACCATAATATCACTTGTCAAGTCATGTTATGTAAGGAAACTGTTTTGCCAAGCCTGTCTGTCATTAAAATTCATGTGGCCAAAAAAAGTGACCAGAAACACCCACAGAACTGTCATCACTGTAACTATACTTAAGTCTTATTGTTTTTATATAGTCTTAGATTTAGGAGTTTAAATTTAGGACAATTAATTTATCAGAATTTTTAAAAAAAAATGCGAAAAGAGCAGAAGAAGTGGTAATAGTTTCGCTATCTGCAAGGTGAATAAACATCTCGAATAACTAGTCTTACAGGATATCTATATGAGTCAACCATAAATAAAAATTCATGTGGCCAAAAAAAGTGACCAGAAACACCCACAGAACTGTCATCACTGTAACTATACTTAAGTCTTATTGTTTTTATATAGTCTTAGATTTAGGAGTTTAAATTTAGGACAATGAATTTATCAGAATTTTAATAAAAAATGCGAAAAGAGCAGAAGAAGTGGTAATAGTTTCGCTATCTGCAAGGTGAATAAACATCTCGAATAACTAGTCTTACAGGATATCTATATGAGTCAACCATAAATATAGGCCTACTGTCCAGCCTTAAAATGAAAACAATAGAGAACTTTAGGTGTTTTCATTATTAACAGTGGATATCTTCAACAAGATGATTATATGATGATGTTTAGTTTTTTTTCTCTCTCTATCCAGCATAATAGCAAACACAGTGCAGTGTCAACAACTCTTAATGACCCACTTATCAGTTCATAGTTAATAAGTGTGCAGTTAGAATTTTGTACCTCCCTCCCCTCACACACCCCCTCTACACTGCAGGAGTCTCCACCATTTTGCTTGTTTATTTTGCCAAAATTATGCATTAGGGTGCTCTATATAAAGAATAATTACATTTGCAAAAAAACGAAATAATTACAAGCACATGGCACTGTACCGATGAATGAAATAAATTCCTGAAATAAAAATAAAATAAATGCACTTACTAAATAAAAATTATTTTGTTTGTTTGTTTTTCTGTAGCTATTTAATCTTTTTTATACTGTAAAATGTTACATAAGCTATTAAATAGCTAAATATACTAAAGCATCATGTACCTCCAAATATCCATTATAGTTTCAAATCAAAAAGAAAGTTTAAAACTTAACTGAACGGGTTAATTGACTCCCCAAGTTTGGTGACTGTTCATGAATATAAGAAACATAGGATATAGAATATAGGAAAAGATTAATACATTTGAATTTTAGAGTAATTTTGGATTAAAGAATGTATGAAATAAATTCATGAAATAAAAAATAAACGCAGATAAAAGCGTTTATATAATCTTAACGCAGATAAAAGCGTCTGCTAAATGACTAAATGTAAATGTAAATGTAAATGTAAAAATAGATTTACTAAATACAAATTCTTAACTGCGAATTTATCCGTATTTACCTTTTATGCACTGCAGAATGTTACACATGATATTCTGCAGCAGTTTAATGTTACAGTTTTGTTTGTGGATGAACCGATGGCGTGTGGCGGAAATGCACCTTAAGCTGGTTTGCCAACCGCCATTAAACACAAAAGAAGAAGAAGAAGAACCGATGGCGTGACGTCATGGACGACACCCCCGTCCAGCCCCTATGACGTGAGTCCAGGGTACTTCTCAGGTTTGGCGTTATCCGGGTTTAAAGCAAGAGAAGCCGGGTGCTGGGCATCATCAGGCCGCTGGCCTAAGTGACTACGTTTTGGTTTTTATTTAAAGTTTTAACGTTTTTGTGAGGTACGATGGCTCTTTGAAATGGCGCAGAAAGACACCCTGTTACATCTCTTCGCAGGGGGGTGAGTGGAAATTACGTTACTTCTATATATATCTATATGAAACCGAGGTTGACGGTTACGGGCTAGAAGGTCGACAGCAGCTTTAAACGCAGTGCAGTGACTTTTACTGAATGTCACACTCATCTCAGACGAGAAAGCATTTTTAAGACCGATTTTCTGTTACTAATATCCCCTCTGTGATATTTCGGCAAGGAGTTTGAATGAAGACAGTTCTTGTTAGCTTTTAGCTAGCGGTGAAACTAGCCAGCGCAGCGTCAGTCACGCGACCGAAGCGTTTTACGTATCATTTAAATACGCGAGCAGGTTTAGTGCTAAAATCACACTAATATAAAGAGGAATTAATAATAATTTTATTAACTGTTGTAAAATAGTGCCAGGAACGTAAAAACTTTGTTTCGGTCTAGCTTGTCAAAGACACACAGAGCAGTGTGTTGGGTTGCGTAATTATGTTATGAGCCACGAGACGAGGTTCATCTCTCGCGAGCTCTTCATGTGCTGCTATTAAAATGTGAAATATGTGCATAATGCATATGCGTGTGAAATGTTTAGGATATAACTAAATAATCGTCTACGCAGAGTTAGTTTGCTTTAGCACCCTTTGAATATTTAAAAGCGCCTTGCTTTATATACATACAGTAAAAAGAATAATATTGTGACTTATTATAGGTTAAAATCATGTTTCTTTTGTAATATTTTTACAATGTTATTCTTGTAATGGCAAAGCTGAATTTTTTTTCAGCAGCCATTACTTCAGTCTTCAGACTAGCCAGCGCAGCGTCAGTCACGCGACCGAAGCGTTTTACGTATCATTTAAATACGCGAGCAGGTTTAGTGCTAAAATCACACTAATATAAAGAGGAATTAATAATAATTTTATTAACTGTTGTAAAATAGTGCCAGGAACGTAAAAACTTTGTTTCGGTCTAGCTTGTCAAAGACACACAGAGCAGTGTGTTGGGTTGCGTAATTATGTTATGAGCCACGAGACGAGGTTCATCTCTCGCGAGCTCTTCATGTGCTGCTATTAAAATGTGAAATATGTGCATAATGCATATGCGTGTGAAATGTTTAGGATATAACTAAATAATCGTCTACGCAGAGTTAGTTTGCTTTAGCACCCTTTGAATATTTAGAAGCGCCTTGCTTTACATAAATACATCCAAGGTCGTAACGCAGTTATTTACGTCCTGTGACCCGTGTTTTGATATCAGTACTTATCTACTACTCCCTTTAGACTGATATTGATTTATTGTTGTCATTTTAATTTGCACTCGTGTATGTCACACTTTCTCAATAGTATGAAAACACGCCTGTGTTTTGTGCGCATTTCAATGCGTTGGCTTTGCGCAGGCTGTTCAATGCCACCTGCCCTTAATAAAATGTGGCTGGAGAAGTGCTTGCTGCTTTCAAGGACAGAGATCTTCATGCTCATGTCAAGCATGTGTGCTAGTGAGTAATGAATGTAGGTTAACGTGTGACTGCTATTTAAAAGGACAGTTGAAGTGCACGTGTTTGCTGGCTAAAGAGTTCATATGCATTTTTACTGACTAGTTAATATGGTTTGTGAAATTATGAAGTGATATTATAAAGTCAAAATGTTGCACCAGAATTAAATTACTGCCTTTTATTTATTGTACTGAAGGCAAAACATATGAGTGAGTTTTTTATTCAAAGTATTTTAGTTTGTATAACTTGGAGTGTAGTTTTTTTTCTTAATATTAGGTTATAAGAAAAACTTTTTTTAATTAAAATGTATTTGTATAGCTGTATAGCTCATAATACATAGAATTTATTATGAAAATAAATACAGCAGTTTTGATGTGTGTGTATATATATATATATATGTATATATGTGTATCTAAAACATATAATTTTTCAAATGTTAAATACTGCTAAAATACCATTTCCTCACCTCTTTTCACATTTTCAATGGATCCCCTGAAAATTGAGAAGAAAAAAACTACAACATTTTTAATGGGTTAAAATACACTTGCTGAAGGCAGAAGTGAAGTCAGAAAA